CGTACTGTGCTCAGAGGATGCCCTCGTGGGCGCTCACAATCCCGCAAACACACAGGTAGCCCCGCCCGCGCATGCGCCTGGGTGTTGTCCCCACAGACCCATGTTCCCATCTGATTTCACACATGCACGCGTACGTTCGGGCTCCCCAGGAGCCACCCAGATTCTGAAAGTCAAGGAGGGCTACAGAATGAACCCTAGAATGATCCTTTGGGATTATCGCTCCTATTCACTCCCCAGACCCTCCACTTTGTCCTCCATGCAAGGCAATCCTGGGGGAGGTGGGAGAGGAGAATTGGGCCAGGCTAGTTGGAGATCAAAAGCACTTTGGGAGGGAATGTCCTCTGGATGGGAGCCGCTGCCCTCTTCCACCACACCAGCCCAGTGCAGAGGGACCTCCCATCCCCCATCAAAGCAGCCCAGAGGACCACCCACGATAGGTGTGAAAGCCACAGAAGAACAGGAAGCTAAGAGACTAGGCCCCCTTGCAGTTGTAGGGGAGGGGAGGGAGTGGCTGCCTCACTTTTCTAATCATTACAGTGGGGAAGAGGGCTGTTCCCTGTGATTGGGGCCCCTGCAGTTCTGCCCTTCTGCTTTGGAGCTGATCAGCAGACCGAGGGAGTGGGGCCCTTGTGCTCACATACACACACACACACACTCCCCCCACCCTTGCAACCTGGCCTAGAGCCCCCATTCCTGGAGGAGGAACCCTGGGAGCAGCAGACAGAAGCTCTGAGGCAAGGCGCCACATAGCCTGGTATAGTCTCCCCTTTGTCAGCTAGAGAGGAGTGAGACCAGGCCCCTGCCCTGCGGGTGTCTAGACCATGAGTAATAGGCACGTACACACATGCAGGCGCCGGGCTGCAGCCCAGGTGCTGAGGGCTCAGGACCAGTGTTCAGAGAGGGAGGGAAGACCGCCCCCCCATCCAAACAGGCACAGGGCTTGGTACACATGTACCCTCAATACTATCTGGTGACTGAATGAAAGAACAAATGAGTGGGTGAATTCAGTGGATAAATGAATGAATGTCCGAGGCCATTAATTTATTTGGGTGGAAAACCCTCGGCATGCCCAGGCTGGGACTTTTTGTGGATCGTCACTGGTCTTGCCCTAGTATGTGTCATCACGCCAGCAGGCTACAGCTCCCCCAGGGGCCAGAAAACCCTTTGCTTGAGCCCCAGCCTAAGGCCGGACATTCACAAGGTGGCCAAGCGGTGCTCGCCGCCAATCAAGAATGGGTGTTGATGTGTCCACCTCCCCACCAGACTGAGAACTCTTCACAGGAGTCTTCAGTATCCGGCTCAAATTCCTTCCCATCCTCCACCCCAGTGTCCCCTCCAGTGAAGGGCCAACTGTGCCAAAAGAGAAGGACCTGGAATGAAGGCGGGCCTGGCCACTTCCTGGCTGGGTGGCCTTAGGTAGTCATTTCTCTCTGCGAGCCTTAATTTCCCTGTCTGAAGAATGGAGACAAGATGCCTTCTTTGGAAAATAAAAAAGGCCTTCTTTGCTTTGCTTTACAGGATGTGGGGTCACCTGCAGCACCACCCCTCTCTGAGCACCCTCACTCAGCACCCAGCGTTCTTTGTTCACCTACACACCTCTTACCCACCACTCCCTTTATATCTGCCTTTGTACCTGCACCTAGCAGTTCCCCAAAGACAGGAATTGGGGCTCCCTCTGTCTCTCTGGGCCCTCTATTGCCCAGCAATGCCCAACACATGGTGAAGCACGTGACAGTGAGTGGAAGAAAAGGGTCCTTGAATGGTAAGTGATGAGTGAAAGCATTTTGTTAACCAGACAGGGCTGTGTGAATATGAGGGCTTTGGTCATTATGACAGTAATTTAAATCATAGAGGTTCAGGACACGAACATATCTTACAGGTTAACTGAATCCTCCCGTTAGACAGATGAGGAAACTGAGGTCCAGAAAAGACTGCCAGAGATGACTCATGGAAGATGTCCTGCTTGAACCTCAACTAAAAATCTCCTAACTCCCAGGGGAGAAGGGATTCCTCCATGGCCCCTCCCCCAGGCCATTCTCCTCAGACCACGCCCCCTCCCCTGCTGGGCTCAAGCCAGCACAGACACAGGGAAGCCCAGAAGGAAGGGCCCAGTCTTCCTTCCTCCCGTGACTGCCTTCTTCCAGACACCTGAGAGTCATGAGTGTATCTGGGGTTCTTGAGGGCTGAAGATGACGAGGTGCTGCTGTAAAGAAGCTGTGAAGTCTGAGCTTGCACTTCAGTGGAAGGCAGCGGCAGTGACAGCAGCGTGTGGAGGGGAAAACTGGAGGCTTAGCTCGGAAGCTCCCAGTGGAGCCGGGGGCAGTGGAATCAGCATGGACTCCAGAGCCAGGCCAACCTGGTTTTGACTCCTGACTCTGACGCTCAGCTGGGGGGTCACTTGGCAAGTTACTTCATCCACAAGCCTCAGTTCCCCTCACCTGTCATACAGTAATACTAATCTCTACCTGACAATATAGTTGAGATGATTCAATAAGAACATAAGCAGAAGTGACTGTTATGGACTGAATGTGTCTCCCTAAAATTCCTATGTTGAAACCCTAACCCCTAGTGGGGCTGTATTTGAAGATGGGACTCTAAGGAAGTGTAATAATTAAGGTTAAATGAGATCATAAGGTGGCCCTGATCTGATAAGTATTAGTGTCCTTAAAAGAAAAGACATTAGGGAATTCCCTGGCAGTTTTTACTGTGGTTAGGACTCCGTGCTCTCACTGCCGAGGGCCCGGGTTCAATCCCTGGTCAGGGAACTAAGATCCCACAAGCCGTGCCCGTGCGGCCAAAAGAAAAGACACTAGAGAGCCTCCCCTCCACCCCCCGCCCCAAGTGCAAACAGAAGAAAGGCTATGTGGCGGGTGACACGGCAACAAGGCCGCTGTCTACAACCCAGGCAGAGAGCTCTCACCAGAAACCAACTACACTGGCACCCTGACCTCAGAGTTGCAGCCTTCAGAACAGTGAGAAAATTAATTTCTGTGGTTTAAGCCAAAGAGTCTGCCGTATTTTGTTATGGCAGCCTAATGTAATACAATGACTAAATAAGTAGGAGGCCATAATTGTTCTCCCTCTTGACATCTCCAGTTTCCCCTCTACTCTCAGGATGGAATAAGGAAAGAGCCTGCTGCTCCTTCCCCCACAGTTCAGAGGCCACTGGAAGGAAGGTAGTGGTGTCGGGTGGTGAAATTGGTACCCCAAAGATATCCAAATCAAATCCCTGGAACCTGTGAGTGTTCGCGTATCGGGCAAAAGATGTGATTACGGTAAGGATCTTGGGAAGAGGAGCTTATCCTGAATTGTCCAGGTGGGTCCTCAGTGTCATCCCAACTGTTCTTATAAGGGAGAGGCAGAGGGCCAGAGAGAGGAGAAGACATACATACACAGAGAAGGAAGCACTAGGACAGTGGGAGATTGGAGCCATGTGGCCACAAGTCAAGGAACGCCTGCAACCACCAGAGGCTGGAAGAGGCCAGGAGCAGATTCTTCCCCAGCGTCTCGGGAGGTAGTGGGGCCCTGCCAACACCTTGCTTTCAGACTTCTCGTCTCCAAAACCGTGAGAATACATGTCTGTTTTTGTAAGCTAACCAGCTTATGATACAGCAGCCACAGGTAACTAAGATAGGGTTATTGGTCCTGCCTCCAACTCAGCCAGCCCCCTGCCTCTGTACCTTTCATTTCCTAGCCACACCTGGACCTGGACCCCCCAGGCACTCGCCCACTAAGCCCTAAAGCCCAGTCCTAAGTGGGATGGGACACCTGCCACCCACAGCGTAGGCTGAGTCACAGCTGCCACCTGAATCCACTGGACTCAGCCCCAGTTCTCTGCGCCATCAGACCCCAGTAGGACTGGGAGGTGGTGTGCCTCCTGGGGCCAAGTATGGGTTAGTGGGGAAAAAACACTAACTTGGGAAAGTCAGGGGGTCTGTATTTAAATTTTGCCTCTCTATGAACTTGAGCAAGTCACTTGAGCTCTCCAGGCCACAGTTTTCTCATCTGCCGGGGCCTGGATTGAAGTGCGTGATTTTCCTGGGCACGTGCAGTTCTGACTGTGAATAAGCAGAGAAAGGGGCGGGAGGGCTGGGGAGGGAGGAGGAAGGTAATCAGTGCCGCGTGTAAACGTGTTCAATTCTGTAAGTGGGGTTTGGGTTTCTCGTGGATTGGATGAGAAGCAGTGTCACACAGGGATTCAAGGCTTGGAAGGAAGGAGCGCTTGGGGTTAGAGGTCTGCATGAGAGGTATCCATCAAAGGCCCACCCTGTCACACCTCTTTCCAGGGAGGTTGCTCGGTCTCCAACCCCCGCAGCCCAAGTGGGTACATTTGGACCATGGAACTTTGTCTCCTGTGGACAGAACCAACTGGAAGAAGGGGGGACCTGAGGAGAGGGCTGCCCGGCAACCAATGACATGGAGGGAAAAGATGAGATGGGCCACCACATTGTCGTACTTGGGAACTTGAACTGGGAAACATGGGAAAACGTGATAGGAAAATGGAGACAAAGAAGTCACACTATAGAGAAGTGCAGAGATCCGAGCCTGGTCAAGCCAGTGACTGAAAAGAGAAATTAAAAGAAGTGAGTTAGTAGCCAGCAGAATGAGGTGAAGCAAACTGTGATGGTAGTCAAGCCAAGTTAATGTTAAGTCCCATTAACACACTGCGATGTGTTTATGTTGAGCTGTGAAAGTAAAAGTCCATGCACTCCTGCAGCTGGCTGTCCTAAAGGGTTCTAGCACTGGAGGGGAAAGGCCTCAGACTTAGAATTAGTAAGAACTCTATTTATTCAAAGTGTGCTGCAGGGAAGAAGGAAGAAATGCTCACCAGCCAGAATTGAGGACTACCACGCTAGTTTCTTTTCTTTTTTTTTTTTTCTTTTGTGGGATCTTAGTTCCACGACTAGGGATTGAACCGGGCGAAAGCTCAGAGTTCTAACCATTGGACCACCAGGGAATTCCCAACCATGCTAGTTTCTTAACATATCAAATCTACAGACTTCTAAGCTACTGGGACTGAGTTCAGCAAGGTCACAGGATATAACGTCAATATTCTAAATTCAGTTATATTTCTATCTACTGCCAATAAGCAATTGGAAACTGAAAATTTTAAAACATCTTTTTAAATAGTATCAAAAAACCATCAAAGACTAGGTGATATATTTATCAAGATAGATGCAAGATATGTATATTAGTTATCTATTGCTACATAACGAATTATCCCAAACTTAGTGGTTTAAAACAACACACATTTCCTATCTCAGTTTCCAGGGATCAGAAATTTAGGAGCAGCTTAGTTGCCAGATGGTCTGGCTCAGGGTCTCTCATGAGGTTGCAACCCAGATGTTGGCCAGAGCTGCAGTCATCTGAAGGCTTGATGTGGCTTTAAGCAGGAGGCCTCAGTTTTGCATCACATGAAATGCTCCATAGGACTGTTCACAACATGACAGCTGGCTTCTCCCAGAATGAATGATCTAGGAGAGAAAGGGCAACCCAATTAGAAAGCCACAGTGCTTTTCATGACCTAGTCACTGAAGTCCCACACTGTCCCTTCTGCTTTATTCTGCTAGAGCAAGTCAAATCACTAAGTCCAGCCCATACTCCAAGAGAGGGAAATTCATCTCCACCTCTGGTAGGGAGGTGTATCAAATAAACTGTGAACTTATTTTTAAAATCACCATAACCAGTACACTGGAAACAATAAAACATTGCTGAGAGAAATTTTTAAATGGAAAGATAAGGCATGTTGGGCTTCCCTGGTGGCGCAGTGGTTAAGAGTCCGTCTGCCAATGCAGGGGACACGGGTTCGAGCCCGGGCCCGGGAAGATCCCACATGCCGCAGAGCAACTAAGCCCATGCGCCACAACTACTGAGCCTGCGCTCTAGAGCCCGCGAGCCACAACTACTGAGCCCACATGCTGCAACTACTGAAGCCTGCGTGCCTAGAGCCCACGCTCCACAACAAGAGAAGCCACCGCAGTGAGAAGTCCGCGCACCGCAACGAAGAGTAGCCCCAACTCGCTGCAACTAGAGAAAGCCTGCGCACAGCAATGAAGACCCAACACAGCCAAAAATAAAATAAATAAATGAAAAAACAAAAACTGATGACAAATAAAAAAGAAAGATAAGGCATGTTCATGGATGGGATGACTCAATATTGTTGAGAAATCACTTCTCAGATTGGTCTATAGATTCACTACAATCTCAATAAAACACCAACAGAATACTTTTACAGAGATTAACAAGCTAATCGCCAAATTTATGCGAAAATGTGAAGGTCCTAACATAACCAAAACAATTTTGTAAAGGAAGAACAAAGTTTGAGGATTATGCTACCTGATTTCAAGACAATATAAAGCCACAGTAATCACTTTATGTAGGCATGGATATTGATGTGATATAGGGATAGATATATAAATCAATGAACTAGAACAGAGTCCAGAAACAAACCTACACATATGTAGTCAATTCATTTTTTATAAAGGGACCAAGAGAATTCAATGGGGAAAGGATAGTCTTTTCAACAAATGGGGCTGAAACAATTAGGTATCCATATTCAACAAAACAAATCTCAACCATCATGTCAAATACAAAACTTAACTCAAAATATGTCAAAGAAAAATCATAGGAGTTAACACTATAAAGTTTCTAGAAGAAATGTAGGAGAAAATTAGTTTTATCTTAGTTTAGGCCACTGTTTCTTAACTTGGGGCAATTTTCCCCAGGGAACATTTGGCAATGTCTGGAGGCATTTTTAATTGTCACAACTGGAGGGGTGATGCCACTGAGTTAGTGGGTAAAGGCCAGGAATGCTGCTAAACATTCTACAATACACAGAACAGCCTCCTACAACAAAACATTTTCTAGTGTAAAATAAAAACAGTACCGAAACTGAGAAACCCTGGGCTAAGCAAAGATTTCTTAGATAAGACACAAAAGTCAGAAACCATAGAATTTGAAAAACGCAAAGATTAAACTTTACCAAAAAAAATAATTTCTGCTCTTTGAAAGACACCATTAAAAAAGCAAAAGGCAAGTCACAGATGGGTGAAAGAATTTGCAAAACATATTTCTGATAAATGACTTTTATCCAGAATATATAAAGAACTCTTACAACTCAAAGTAAGAAGATGACCAGTTTTTTTAATGGGAGAAAGATTTGAACAGATACTTCACCAAAGAAGATATATGAATGGCCAGTAAGCACACAGAAAGACACAAGTCATTAGAGAAATGCAAACTTAGATCACAATGAAATGCCATTGCACATCCATTAGAATGACTAAAAAATTTTAAAAACTGACCATACCAATGTTGGCAAGGATGTGGAGAAACTGGAAGTCTCATAAGCTGCTGGTGGAGATGTAAAATGGCACAACTTTGGAAGACAGTTGCTTGTAAAGATAAATATACACTTACAACCCAGTAATCCCATTCCTAGGTATTTACCCAAGACATACTTACCAAGAGAGGTATTTACCTAAAGACTTACAAGTGAATGTTCATAGCAACTTTATTCATGATAGCCAAAAACTGAAAGTAACCTGAATGCCAATTAAGAGATAAATGGGTTAACAATCTGTGGTACATCCATACAGTGGAATTTACTCAGCAACAAAAAGAAACAAACTGCTCAAGAATATGGATGAGAGACTTCCTGGTGGCGCAGTGGCTAAGAATCCGCCTGCCAATGGGGGGACAGGGGACACGGGTTCGAGCCCTGGTCCGGGAAGATCTCACATGCCGCGGAGCAACTAAGCCCGTGCGCCACAACTACTGAGCCCACGCTCTAGAGCCCACAAGCCACAACTACTGAGCCCGCGTGCCACGACTACTGAAGCCCATGTGCCTAGAGCCTGTGCTCCACAACAAGAGAAGCCACCGCAATGAGAAGCCCATGCACCGCAATGAAGAGTAGCCCCTGCTCTCCACAACTAGAGAAAGCCCGTGCACAGCAACGAAGACCCAACGCAGCCATAAATAAATAAATAAATAAAACGGAAAAAAAAGAAAAAGAATATGGATTAATCTCACAATCATTATGTGGGGTGAACCAAGCCAGACACAGAAGAATGCATATGGTATGATTCCATTTATAAGAAATTCCAGGAAATTCAAAATTACAATGATAGATTAGTAGTTGCCAGGGGCTGGGAGGTGAAAGAGGGGGCTGATTTCAAAGGGGCACAGGAATATTTTGGGGTGACAGAAATGTTCTGTATCTCAATTGAGGAAGGGGTTACACAACTACATACATTTCTCAAGACTCATGATATTTTATACTTGAAAGTGAGGAATTTTTATTTCTATAAGTTAGACTTATCTTTTAAGATAAGATAAAAGATAAAAGACTATCTTTTAAAGACTACAGGTTTGGGCTTCCCTGGTGGCGCAGTGGTTGAGAGTCCACCTGCCGATGCAGGGGACACGGGTTCGTGCCCCGGTCCGGGAAGATCCCACATGCCGTGGAGCGGCTGGGCCCGTGAGCCATGGCCGCTGAGCCTGCGCGTCTGGAGCCTGTGCTCCACAACGGGAGAGGCCGCAACAGTGAGAGGCCCGCGTACCGCAAAAAAAAAAAAACAAAAAAAAAACAAGAAAAAACATGGAAAAATAAAAATCATTAGATGTGTGAGGATAGTCAATAATGTACAGGGGTTGATTGAAAGCAATTTAAATTTTTTAATTTTGTCTTCCAGAAATATCACAATGTTTGTATAATCATAAGAACCAATCAGAACAGAGTTTGAATTAGATTGGAGTAAATGCTGGGGTGAGGGCTCAGTCAGATGACATTTCCTTGGAGAAGTAATTTAACTGCTCTGAGCTTCAGTTTCCTCGTATGTAAAACAGAGTTAATAATATAGCATCACCTCACAAGACTATTGTGTGGGTAAATTTTAAAATTCCATATAGTGTTTAGCACACAGTACCTTGTGCATAATAACCCACTCAATGTACACTGGCAGTCAAGATGAAGATACAGAGGCAGGGATATTCTGTAAAGACCAGACTGGCCGTGACTGCTCAGAACTGGCATCAGATTTTTTAAACAGTTTCATTGAGGTATAATTAACATTCAATAAAGAGCACATGTTTAAATTACACAATCTGACAAGTTTTATCACACGTATACACACTTGAAACCATTGCCGCCGCCACCAAGATAACAAACATATCTGTCACCCCCAAAAGCGCCCTCTCATCCCTCTACCACCCTGCATCCCAGGGAACCATTCGTCTGCTTTCTGTCACTGGAGATTAGCTCGCATTTCCTAGAATTTCATATGAATGGAGTCATGCACATTATGTACTCTCTTTTTTGCTTGTTTTTTTGGTCTAACTTCTTTCATTCACCTTCTTTTGAGATCCATCTACGTTGTTGCATATATGAACAGTTCCTTCTTTTTCACTGCTGAGAAGTACCGCATTATATAGATATATCACAATGTGTTTATCCAGTCACCTGTTGGTGGACATGAGGATCGTTTCCAAGTTTTGGTTATTACAAATAGAGCTTTCATTTACCAGTCTTTGGGTGGACATTTGCTTTCATGTGTCTTGGGGAAATACCGACGAGTGGGATTGTTGAGGTGTAATGTTAGTATATATCTTTACAAGAAACTTCCTGGCAGTAAATGTGTTGTTCCAAGTGTGAAGTTCCCTTGGAGAGGGTTGGGAGGCTGGGGGTCAAAGTCAGGGGTCTCTCACACCCCCTCCCCACCTTCTCAATCTCTCTGTTCAAATCTGGTATTCCAAAAGGGCCTCTCCCTGCATAATGACATCCTGTCCCCATATGGGGGTGAGCATCAGAATCTCCTGGGGAGCTTTAAACATGGTCCCACCTGAAACCTACTACTGAAAATATTGCCTGGTGAGGCCAGGTATCTGTGTTTTTTTAAAATGTCTCAGGTGATTCTGCCATGTAAAACGGCAAAGGAACTCCCCACCTACTGGAATGAGTTTAAACCCCCAGGCAAAGTATTCTGCACCCAATGCCCCCCCCCACCTGCCCCAGAAGCCTCATGCCTTGCCCCTCACCCCAGACATGCAGCCTAACGAAAAGGCTCCATATTCCCAGACATGCTCAGGCTCTCTCACCACCAAGCTTTCACTCATCTCTCTACCTTCCCCGTTCTCTACCCAGGGAACTTCTACAAATCCTTTGAGACCCAGAAAAGGCCACTCCCCCCCTACCCCAAGCCTTCTACACCCATCCCCCAGCCAGGCAGAAATTTTGTTTTCCTCCTGAGTCTCACAGCACCACCCCCACCTATATCATAGCATCTGTCACTCACTCTGCCCTGTAATTACTGTCAGCCCCTCCAGTCCACGGACTCTGCATCCACAGCTCAATCTACAGCGGATCAAAAACATTAGAACATAAACATTCCAGAAAACTCTAAAAGGCAAAACTTGAATTTGTCATATGCCGGCAACTATTTGCATAGCATTTGCATTGTATTAGGCATTGTAA